GCAGAAAATATATATATAATTATAATAAAGTTACAATAAATTAAGTTAATATATAATTATATATACAGTACCTAATTTATATATAATTTATATATAATTATATGTACAGACGCTACTAAACTCAATTTACCCGCCTAAACTGTCCGTAGCGTGGCGCTGGACGGCGGAAAGTAGTTCGGCTGCCCGATGACGTTTTACGTAATTATAGGAGTTATTTTTACCGTTGTTTACGGATACCGCCACAATTTTTTCGCCGTCTTATAGGAATCGTAATTATAGGAACCCGTCTTATAGGGGGATCTACTGTATGTACCTAATTTGATAAATTTGATATTTCTCGATAAACGAATTACGAATCTCTCTTGACGTAATTATTAGATAGTAAAAAAGTTTTGATACCACTGATAAGTAATTCAACGTTATATAATGTTTATATATAATATAGCATATAAATGTTTATATAATACCTGAAATTGCAGTTCAGATGACATTCTAATAAAAGCTGGAAAATACATAATAAATAATACTCCATAATTCATAACAAGTGCGATTTGGCTTCCCGCATTATCTAAAGTTGTTGTTATAAATTCAAAATTACTTCTATTATTGACTATAGACAATTAAATATATTTACTCACCTGAATCAATCGAAACACTGAATATAATAACAGTAATAACTACATTTATGAAACAAACCATGTGGCCGTATATGAAAACCCATCGATTTAAAGCAACGTACAGGAACCACGTAGCAGTGTGCATATCCTGATACTCATTAAATGTAGATTTAAATTTACTTTCGGCTTTAAATGCTCTAATTGTTGTCAGTCCGTAAAGAGATACACTCAGATGGGAAAATACCGGACTTCTCGCTGCCAAAAAATTTTATATATATAAATCACTTATTTAAGTAAAACTTTCTTAAATATAATAACCATCCTTTGTAACTGATCTTTATAAACTTTCCTGAAATAAACAAATAACACAAGGAACACACCAGTAAATGACTATACAAGGAAATACATTTCGAGTTTTCTTCCTCTTTCAGTTTTCTGTTACAGATTTTGACTGCTTATTAAACTCTACTTACAGAATTTCGTTGCCATTAATCTGTATTAAATATATTTGTAAGTGAAAAGTGTTCAATGTATAACATTTTTGTCAATATGTTGATTAGCAATTTGTTTTGTTAAAATAAAAAGTATTGACGTATATATTAGAGTGTAACATATACTAAATAATTTTGATACAATACTCTTACGTAAAAGAGTATTTCTGTATAATTCCTTTCGGTAATGAATGTTTACTGTTGAAAGATTTTTCTTGCTTTTAAATTTAGTACAATAAGCTATTCTAGAGTACGTCTTATGTACTTACATTTTCCTTCCATTTGTTTTATGCTTTTCACCACTCGAGTATAGATCGTCCACAAACCATAGAATAATATCGAAAGGACAGCTGTTAATATGAGTAGATAAGGACAGAATATTGCTTGAAGTATACACATGCCAGCAACTATAAAGTGTCCCTAAAATATAAGAATAAATGAAAGGTCATTTCTGTATTCTACAATATATATTATTTATTATTATTTATACATAAAAAAATATACCATTACTTTTAACATTTAGATGAAACATTAACACCACATAACATAATTGCATAACACATAATACATTTTGTAAGATAAATCCTTAATTAATCAAATTATATGATTTATGAAATAAAAAATTACGTGTTATTGCATTTAACATTGTCAATTAGACAATATATTTAGGCATGCATCGACGGTAAATTCTGTAGAATAAGTAGAGAAGAGCAAAAGTTTTCAGGTTCTGCCAGTCTATTCAAATTCTTTGCATATCAAATTCTTTTGAGTTTGACTGTTTGGAGTGAAAGAGTGAAATATTCAATATAATATATATAATGAATGAATATGCGACCTATGCTGCGTTCTCGCATAACACTGCTGAAAATTGCATTATTTCGTTAACATAACTTTGTACAGAAACAATATTGAAATAAAGAGAAATATTAAATATTAGGCAAGGGACGATGAGTGTTGGTGATATTTTTTGTGAACTTTTTTACTACTCTTAGATTTGGAAATTATGGAAAATATTAAATTTAAGATAATGGTATCCTCGGCAAAACGACATCAGTCTCGAAGCGAACCTTTTTTGAAAACAGTGATAATGGAAAACTATTTTTCTATTATGTCAGACCGAAAGAAGTCTATTTTTAAAAAGATTATTTCATATTTGGACAAGCGATTTGATAAAATTCTATCAACACTAAATGAGGTTGTAGTCAGTATTGACTGGTTGGCTAATTTACATAACGAACACGTTCAACTTTTTATTCAGTTGGAAGCTAAATTGAAAAGAATTTCTAAATTTAAAAATGACATTCAGCAGAAAACTAGTTTTATTTTGCATTGTATAGATAAGGTCTCAAATGAGGCGAGAAAGAAAAATATTTGTTTAAAGGTTTGACTGATGATACTTTAGAATTAAACAGTAAAGTGAAAAATTTATTTTCCAAACTGACTGGAGAATCAAGACCAATTTCAACGGTCAAGATTGTGAAATTTAAACGATCAGATATTGTATTGATCAAGCTACAGTCAGTCAGTCAAAATAATCTTTGTCTGGCACCGCTGAGCACAGCCAGGCAGAAATACAGAAAAAACATAGTACAACATGCTGTTAGTCATAGAAGGGATACAGTAATATAATGGCACAGAAAAGGGAAAGTAAAATAAAATGAAATAAATGAAAATAAGAATAAAAATTAAATATTATAAAAGATTAAAAAATAAAAAAATAAAAGTACACTATAACTAAAGAAACATTAAAGTCTACATGCTATTACAGTCACATCAAAGTCTACATGCTATTACAGTCGACCCCCCTATAAAATAGAGATACGTTCCATTCTTTAGGAATCCGATTTCTTACGAATCCTTCCAATCACAACCCGACACGTATCAAGTTTACGGACTACGGCTGTTTGAAAGATTTTCTTCCATAAAATTAATCGATTCTAGACTAATCCGACTCAACATTTCCAAAATACGTATAT